ACACACACACACACACACACACACACACACACACACACACACACACACACAGCACCTGCCTCCACCAGGGCTGGTAGGAGTAAGTGAACTGTTCTACCACATGCTTCCCCCATGGGCAGGGAAAAACAAAGGGAAGGAACACAACAGAGCTTTCCCAAACCACGCCTTTGCAGCCACGGTTTGGAATGCGGGCTTTGGTAAGAATGAAGAACTCATCAAGTTCACGGTTGTTTGTGTAATTGCAGCCAGTTTTCTTAGTTAAAGCTACAATTATGAGCTGAGGTTGCTGGAGGCCTGGTACAGGAGAAATGCAGGCTGGGGGCTTCTCAGCTGCCCACCACAGGGGTGCCCACCACAGGGGTGCCCACCACAGGGGTGCCTACCACAGGGGTGCCCATCACAGGAGTGCTTACCACAGCCTTTCTCAGTGGCATTGGGTGTTGCTTTGTGAAGTTTAGCTAAAGAGTGTGAGGCCTGGCCTTGCTCAGGTGGTCAGTGGGGGAGCTGGGCTTGAACCACAGGAGCTCAGAACTTCCCCACCCAGTATGTTTCTTCCCCAGAGAAAGGCTAACCCTGTTCTCCTTTCTTTTTAATTATTTTATTTATATCCCAAATGTTGCCCTCTTCCCCTGATAGTCTTGTTCTTAGTGTAAATATGTCTGTCACTTTAAGATTTAGTCACTGCTTGGAGTAGCAGAAGGAAGGGGAACCTGAAAAGGGAGCTGGGGACCTGGCATAGGAGTGAGGGAAGCTTATCTTTCCCCATCTTGCTGCCTGGGATAGACAAGGTCCCTGGGTGGAATCTCCCTCACAGGCTTTCACCTCAGAAGTCACAGGAGGAGTGTTGTGCAGTAAGGCCTCAGCTTCTTCCATTTTCTCCCCATTATGAGTGTAGGCATCACGGTTTTCTCTTGGGAAAGCTGAGTGGCAACGTGGCTGGGAGTAGACCCCAGTCCTGCCGATTCTTGGTCAGATCCCAGCACCAGTGCCATGACAGAGCCGGGGCCAGCTGTGGAGGTTGACCCACCCACCACTATGCAGACCAGGCAGGACACTGGTGTTTCTGTTGCCCAGGAGTCTGGGTTTAAGTCCTGATGCAGCTTAGGACACAGAAGGAGGGTATTCTAAAAGCCACCTCCCAGCTGCAGAGATGACACCTGTAAGCCCTACATGCTTGGAACTTCATACCACTGTACCTCACAAATGCAGTGAGCATGCAGGGGCTGGCTGAGGAGACACACTGGGATTGTGACTGGCAGTCTCTGCCTCTGTGGCTAGTCCAGGGTCATGGCCTAAGCTCTCAGTACGAGTTGGAAGGCTGCTCACACTGCTGACTGTGGTGATGTCACTGAGGCTGCCACTTTGGAAGGTGTCCATGCTGGATGCTGTCTTGGGCATAGTCCTCAAGATGGGGCTTCTTAGTCCCAGCCTTTGCTAGGGAGGAAATGGAGGTTTGGGATGATTTGTTTCTGTTGTAGTAATTAATTAAAAATCGGCCTCTTTAAGCTGTAGTGGCTCTGCCTAGCCCAGCCTCCGTGTTTCTCGGCCTGAGGCCACGTGTGCACAGCAGTTAGAAACAGCCTGTCAGAAACACCAGCCCTGCCACCCACTAGATGTCAGCGTGAGAGATGGCTCTGCCAATCTTCCACACTGTCTCCGCAAGGCAGGGCATTGCCCAGACCATTTTGCCATCCATGTGGGCCCAGTAAGAGAATGAGACTCTGATTCTTATAGATTAATCAAAGGCTTTATATGTTTGATAATGATTAATAACAAGATGCCCATACAAAGAGAATTGTATCCCAATTAGCTAGCCTAATTATAAGTTTATAAGTTGTTCCCCACGAGTGCTCTCCATACCTGTGTGGTTCTCCATCCTCTTACATCTCTGCCCTCTCTAGCTCCTCCTCTTCCTTTTTTTCTCTTCTTCTCCCAACTCCTCCTCTTCCTCTCCTTACTCCTCCCACCTTAGCTCCTCCTACATATTTCTTTCCTCCAAGGCTACAAAGCTGGTGGCTGGTGCTCTGTCCCCTTGATTCACTGAGTCATGCAGGAGTTTGTTCAAACCCCAGTGTGGCCAGCTTTCCTGAGCTACTACCTGCCTGTGCTCAGAAAAGGAGCACAGAGAATCCTTTCTTTCTGTGTGACTCCTCCTGACATGGAGGAGGGAGGAGCCACCCTTCTTTGTCCTCTGCTCCCCTTAGACCAGTGATTCTCACCCTTCCTAACGCTGCCATCCTTTAATACAGTTCCTCATGTTGTAGTGATCCCCAACCATAAAAGTATTATGTTGCTACTTCATAACTAGTTTTTGATACTGTTATGGATCATAATATAAACATCTGATATACAGGATATTCAATATGTAATCTTCAAAGGGGTCCCAACCCACAGATTGAGACCGTTTGTCTGTCTCTCTGCCTGTCTGTCTGTATAAGTCTCTCTTAGACTGCTTAGCTGCTGTCCGTTCTTTACTCCCCTCCTTCCTGGACTTCCATCTTCTTGCTCCTGAGACCATTCCCCTTGCTTGCTTGCTTCCTGCCTTCCTGTCCCATCGTGTGTGCTCTCCCAGTTTCTCCTCTTCAACTACCCTTCAGTGCAGAACAGAAGACCACAGAGCATGCTTGGTCTTCCTCCTGTGCTCTCTGCCTTGCCCTCTCCAGGGAGGCTCACCACTCTGTGGCTGGGAGCACTGGTCTTTTTGCTCTGATTGAGATGTGCCTGTGGACCCAAGCTTCCCTCTTGCACCCCTCCCTTTATGTATTTCTTGTCACCCCAGTGCTGAAGACAGATACAGAATGTGGGCCCAGGCCCGAGTGAGTCTGTCAGCAATGGCTGCCGCTTCCTTAGGCAATGCTTGCATGCCTCAGCCCCACCCCACCCCTGCATCCTCACTGTCACCTCTGCATCCTCACTGTCACCTCTGTATCCTCACTGTCACCCCTGCATCCCCACCCCACCCTTGCATCCTGACTGTCACCCCTGCAGCCTCACTGTCACTCCTGCAGCCTCACTGTCACCCCTGCAGCCTCACTGCCACCTCTGCAGCCCTGCCCCACCCCTGGAGCCTGCCTGCTACAGGCACTGTCATTGGACCTTTCCCTCATCTCAGCTCCTGCACAGTCTCACCCAAGGTCCCTACACTGGTTTTTCTTTCTCTTCTGTGTATTTCCTTCTTCCTACAACAGCTCACACCCATCGTGCGTTGGGTCTTGTCTGAGAGACTTGATCTGTACAGGTGGGCGTCTTTATTTTGTTTCTGAGAAAAGCAATTTACAGGAGGAAGGATCTGTTTTAGCTCACAGTCCCATCATTGTGGGGAAGTCAAGGCAGCCTGAGGTATACGGTCACAGCAGGCTCACAGTTGAGAGCAGAGAGCAGCAGTGGACGGCATGCTTGCTTGTGTTCAGGCCCATTTCTATACTTGAATAGTCCAGGACCGAATTTTAAGGAATGCTCCCACCCACAGTGAAATCAGAACAGTCTGCCTAGACACTCTGGCTCTATCACCTGATCTAGACAATCCCTCCTTGAGACTTTCTTCCCCAGCAACTCTACATTGTATCAAGTAGATGACTGAAAGTAGCCATCACAGGGGCTTAGTCCATTACTGCTGTATTAATAAGATGTGCCACACTGAGTCAGCCACAAACAGAAAGTTATCTCCCACAGTTCTAAGGGTGTGAAGTCCATGATCCATGTGCAGGAGGCTGTGATGTCATGTGCTCCCCTTGGTAGATAGTTCTTAGTGGCTGTGTCCTATACACAAAAGGTATGGGATCTCTTTTCTGAGGTCTGAGCCATTTGCAGAGGCTTAGCTCCCCCGACCCTTCTAAAACCTCCCCATTCCAAGGCTGCTGCTGTGGGGTTTAATTTTCAACATGAATTTGGAAGAACAGAAGCATCTCAGACACAATATTTGTGCTCTTTGGAGGAGGAGGAGGTGGCTTAGGTCAGAACAGTTCATTATTCTGCCAACATGAAGGCCAGGCAGCAGAGTCATTAGCCCTGGCTGTGGAGCCCCTCCTTTCTCACACTGTAGTCCTTTCGTCCATCTGCCTGCCCTTCTCTCCAACACTGACCAAGTTCAGTCTCCTCCTCAGACCGGAGAGGGCCACTTGACTGGGCCCCTGCACCTGCTTCCATTTCCTACTTCTGTGCCCTGTTCTCTGTCGCCACACAACACTCTGAGGGCTCCGTAAACACTTGTCACCTGCTGCAGGGCCTTTGCACTGCTGTCCCCTCTGCCTAAAAGCCTTTCTGTAGTCAGTTCATGTGGCCAGAGCCTTGTGGGCCTCAGCTCACACAGCTTGTATGATGTCGTGCTGGCACAGCACCCAACCCTCTGGCTCTACAGTCGCTGCTACCTTCTTGTGAAGGGACCATGCTTTACTCTCTATCAGACATCACCATTCTAAGAAAAGATTTCTTTTTTATTTTAATTTTTAATTCTGTGTGTGTGAGGCCAGAAGAGGGTGCCAAATCCCCCGCAGCTAGAATTACAGGTCGTTGTGCGCCACCGGACAGGTGCGGGGAACGGAACTCAGGGCCTTTTCAGGAGCAGTGCATATTAACTGCTGAGAACTGCTCCGGGCCCTCACTTTTTTGATGACCCTTATTGCTTATGGCATCTCTGTGCTGTAGGAGGGAACTTCCAAAGAGAAACTGGAGTGTACTTTCCTGAAATTTCCCCAGTTATTGCGAGGACTGGAGAGCAAACGAGTGAATCCATAAACAAACTCATGTCTATGTGAGTTCAAACGCCAGGTGCTGTTGACCCCTTGAGTTCCCCTGCCACACTGTAGGCGTCTGTCTGCCCACATAGGACCACACCCATCACCTGGATCCCCCTGCCTCTGCTCAGGCTCAGACTGTGTCTCACTCCCACAGGTAATCAAAGAGGCCTACAGTGGCTGCAGCGGGCCCATGGATCCGGAATGTTCTCCACCACCCAGCGCCAGTGCCCCCGTGAACAAGGCGGAACTGGAGAAGGTGAGGGGAATGCCAGCTCTCACACAGCTCTTTGTTTCTTTAGTGGTGTTTCTTCTCTGTGCGTACAGATGAATTATATTTATGGGAAATTGTTGAGACAATTCAATACATGTGTACAATGTATTGGTTAGCCAGGGTATCCCTCCTGTCTGCCACCTCAGACCTTAAGCCTTTCGTCTGTAATCGCCAGTTTAATAACATTCTGTGAGAACCACAGGACTTCAGCGGGCGTGTCTGCACTTCTGCCCCTGAATATTTTCAGTGCCTCCTCTGGACTGAGCTCCTCACAGACTCCGTGACTTGTTTTATCACCAGCGATGGATAAAGATGGGAACTTAAGGGAGGGAATGGCCTGGTTCCTTCATACCTATTGAATGAAATCAAATGCGGCGTGCCCACTTGCAGTGCTCCGCAGGTCTGTGCTGGTGTGCTGTCTACAGAGTGTTGAGCATTCAGCCCATGCCCACCAAGCCTGCATGACTCCTGTGGGAATAACGTGATCCTTGTGTCCTTATAGAAATTGTCTTCAGAGAGGCCCAGCTCTGATGGAGAAGGTGCTGTGGAAAATGGAGTCATCACGTGCGACGGAAAAGAACAAGGTGAGGCTCTAACACGAGCCAAGAATATCTGAACTCAAAAAGCTGTGTAGGTGTGACTGTGTGGGAGACCTCTGTGCTTCAGCCACGCAGGTGCCGCCACCTGCTGTCCCCGAGAACACAAGGAAGGCCTCTTGATTTGCAACAGCCCAGAACCTTCCTTTTATCCCACCTGCATTTACATTATTGTTAAACCATAAAAAGTACATATACCACAGAGTTTGTAATTTTCAACCATTTTAAAGTGTTCTGTAAACATTAAACACACACACATATAGTGCTGTGTAGCTATCATGTGCATCTATCTCTGGAACTTTCTGTCAAGTCTTTCATCCCTTCCTTAGCCCTGGCAATCAGCATTCTGCTTTCTTTCTGTATAGATTCCACACCCTAGGGGCTCATGCAAGTGGAATGCTGTGGTACTTGTCTGTTTACAACTGGCTAATTTCACCCAGTATGATGCCTTTAAGGTTTGTCCATATTGTAGTATGTGTCAGCCTTTCCTTCCTTCTCAAGACTGAACAGCATTCCATTATATGGACCGCATCTTACTGACCATTCATCTGCCCGTGGTACTTGTGTTGCTTCTGACCTTTGGCTACTGATAGCAGAACCACTGTGAACATGGACATGCAGGGGTTAAAGTCTCTTGTTTTTAAACTTGACTTTATAGAAAGACAGATGACATTCAGTAAAATCCCCCAGCTTTGACTTAACTGTTTCACGAGCTTTAATATACTCCTACAGCAAGTAACCATCACTACGAGAGAGAGAGAGAGAGAGAGAGAGAGAGAGAGAGAGAGAGAGAGAG